TTTTTTTTTTCTTTTGTACATAATCAGCAAGGAATGTCGAAGAACGAAAATCGTTAAAGTCGTGGCACTATCCGCTTGAAATGCGTTGGAGACATGTTTTTATTATACCCTGGCACAAGAGTATTGTACGCCGAGATGTGTTTTGCCGTAAGGATGAACGGAATTGAAATTGTTTCCGATAGGAGTACTTCTTCGATCACTTGCTGTAAAATGTCTTATCAAAATAAGTACAAAAACAAGTGTAGGATGCCGTAAGATATTTTATAGTCGCTCATGACCGGTCGCCATGATTGTCATAATAAACTGTTTATTAACTTTCAACATTAGTGTACTAAGCAAGTATCAAAATGTAAGTATTCTTCCTTTTTGAGGGAAGATGCGGTTTTTACTGCATCTATCAAATTGAGCTAAGCTGAAACTGACTGTTTTCCATACACACTTAAGTGAAAACAATAATTATATTGCGAAAAAGCAACTAAAGACATTATAGTCGGGCAAGGCCGACATTTAAATACGCTACACCACATTGCCTAACTACTACTTACTATTGTGGGTCAATTCTCATTTCACCACATATTAAAACTTCGACTTTTCTGCTCTACAAAGAATGAGTTTTCGTGAAAATTCTTATTAGGGTAGGAGCCAAAGAATACGTCGAGACGTTCCAAATTTTGTACAGTTAACTTTTCTTATGTTAAGTTACTATTATGATATAATTTTTATCATGAATCATTGAACATTATACCTTTTTGTCATCTTGTTTGAACTTCAGTTTCCGTTGTGATGAGAGGGGTCCAAAAATTCCTCCAGCTGGACGAAAGTTTTCATAACAATTTACAATGCCGAAATTCTATTACGTATTTTTAATTAAAATTGCAATATTTTCGGTCGAAAAAGTGAAGCTAACCGAACCATTTTCAATAGCGTTTCTTGAGTCAAAGCACGTCACTGTACAAAATTTCATGAAAGTATCTCAAAAATTGCGAAAACAACTTTAGCTTGAAAACAACCTTACCTGGACAGACGTCAGACAGACAGACGGACCGACAGGTTTAGATCAATTTAGATTATGACTCTTAATCGATCGGTATAGTAAAAGATGGATTTATGTAAAGCCCTTCTGCTTCCCTTCTTCTTACAAATGTCCGCACTAACTTAATATACACTGTACTTGCACAAATGGTGTAGGATATAAAAGTAATAGTTTCCAAGTTCGGAGTTGGATTCTGAAAATGAAAATTCCTAATCAAAGTATTTATGTTGAAAAAAATATATAATCCTTAGTTAAGCTGTAGTCCAAATAATCGAGCAAGTGAAAAGGCTTTAAAGCCCTATTTGAAAAAAGATAAATCGTGCGTAGGCGTTGCTAAGAACATTGCTGAATTATACTGGAGCGGATAGTTTACAAATCGAATAACGGTGAAGGAAACAATCCACTAATCCACGAACAGTTATAGAATATAATTTCTAAAGATATTTTACAAACACTCATCGCAGAGTGATAATTTGCCAATCAAACTTTCCTAGACGCAGTCTTAGTATTGCTTGAGCTGAGTTAGTTTAATGTATCCTCTGAAAAGAGCTTAAGTGTTCGTCGAGTCAACTACCGCACACTGAAAAGGAATGCTTATTATCATTAGAAAAACCATCCGTCATCCCTTAATTAGACCTAACTTATTTAGTTCAATTCAACTGGAAATATGGCTTCAGCAATGCCACACTACATCAGGTAGCAGTTGCAGATATTTGCTTCTAAAAATTCACTTTTCTTTTTGAATAGAATGGTAAAGGAATTTTTACCCAACGTATTACCGATTCCCTTCATTTTTCTATTAGAATATAAATTCGCTACAGAGAAGACAACTGGATTGTTGAGGCTTCCACAATACCTTTTTTATGTATAAGAGCCAAGTAATTTAGAAAAAGTCTTTAAGCATAGTGCAGCGATTTTCTCTTTAGTGGTCGACGTAGTTCGCAGAATTGCTCGGCCATGATTTCGTTGAATGAAACGTTGGTTCACAGTAACGCGCACCGAAGTAGTTCACGCAAATGAAGATAGTAAAATTCTCGTGACTTTACAGTCGATGTCAATGATCTCCTTAACCCAACTCCAAAAAGTTATTTTTCGCCGGTCAAAATCGAGACGGATTTGTTGCATTACTTACCACAATTACACTTAAGTTGCTCGACACGTTTCTATTAAAAATAAAGTTACTGAGCATATTTAGATCTATTACCGAATCCTACCGAACATTCTAATCCTTGGAAGTTAATTGCAGTCCTTTAGGAGACCATCATTTACTTGGCGAATTGCATTTTTTTAAAAAACTGCTCGAGCCCATTAATGTAATTTGTATAGGATCCTCTGACATGATGTGTCATTTGAAATTTGGCGTCATTTTTTAACTGTCGACATTTAATAAATAAAAACTAGGAAGTTTTCCAACACTTTGGCTATATATATA